GAACACGTCTATGATTTAAAATTGATTACACTTGGGGAACAATTTTAGTACAGTTGTGCCAATTCTTTTTCTTGTATTCAACCTCTGTGAATAGGAAACTAGAGTTATGGCGGCAGACACTTGAGTCTAAAGGTTTTAGATTGAGCAGAACTAAAACCGAATACATGAGATGCGACTTTGGCGGAGTTGTACAGGAGGAGGGAGATATGAGTTTGGAAGGTCAAGTAGTGCCTAAGAAGGATACCTTTCGGTATCTGGGATCGATGCTACAGAGGGATGAAGATATTGATGCGGACGTTAGCCATAGAATCAAAGCAGGGTGGATCAAGTGGCGACAAGCTTCTGGCATTCTCTGTGACAAGAGGGTACCACAAAAGTTAAAAGGCAAGTTCTATAGAACGGCGATTAGACCGACTATGTTGTATGGAGCAGAATGTTGGCCTATAAAGATTCGACATGTTCAACAACTGAGTGTTGCAGAAATGCGTATGTTGCGATGGATTTGCGGTCACACAAGAATGGACCGAGTTCGGAACGATGATATACGTGATCGCCTAGAGGTAGCACCAATTGAAGAAAAGCTTGTCCAACATCGGTTGAGGTGGTTTGGCCATGTCCAAAGGAGACCTCCAGAGGCACCAGTGCATTGTAGAGTTCTAAGCCAAGCTAATAATATGAGGAGAGCTAGAGGAAGACCGAAATTGACATGGGGAGGCAATAAAAAGAGATTTGAAAGCTTGTGATATACCTAGAGATCTATATTAGAATAGGAGTATTTGGAAAGCAGCTATTGAAGTGCCTAACCGTGACTTGGGGCTCTTGGTGGGTTTCAACTCTAGCCTACCCCAACTTGCTTGGGACTGAAAGGCTATGTTGTTGTTGTTGAACCTATGTGAATATGCTATGTTTTTTTTATAATATATATTTTAGGCCTAAAGCTAACATAACTCCAGCATGTTTCATGAGTCTTATCTGATCTGACTATGCTTATGCAGTGGCCACACATTTGATTTCTCAAGCTAAGTATAAAGATCCTTGCACTCCAAGGGGATTTACACGCATGGCAGGATCAGTTAAACTTCCTGTTAGTGTTCTTGAGCCGAAGGTTGAGTACAGACCTTTTGCTCATGCTGTGGGGAACTTCTCTGAGTGTAGATCTGCAGCACTAACACTACTGCAAAAAGGAAAGGGTAGCCAACTGCACTTATACCTCAGTGTCTTATCATTATGTTTATTTTTCTTCAGAAATGCTTCCTTTTTCTTCGATAGTCATATCTGTTTGCTGAATTCTGGGGGAAGAATGGGACTTGGTCCACTAAGAGCTACTCCATCCGTTCCAAATTGTAAGTTGTCCTGGCTTTTCTAGATACATAGCTTTTGCTGCGCACCAAGATATATATTATGTCTAGATACATAATAAAAGCTATGTATATCTAAAAAAGCCAGAACGACTTCAATTTGGAACGGAGGGAGTACTTTGCATAGGCCTTTGTTATAGGAAAAAAACTACATGACTTCCAAGATATACTGCACTCAATTTAGGGTTAAAATAACTAGGCTAACTAACCTTAGCTCAAATAGGCTAATAACTACCTTTTGTGTTTGGCAGTGTATTTGCTTAGGCTATAATGTTGTTTGGCTAGACTAGGTGTGTTAGCAGTAAGAGAACAAAATTCTGGTTAATTAGGCTATTGCACCTCCTGAATCCTGATCAGGTTATGTTAAAGAGGTTACAAATATTTATCCAGGTTAGCTCAACTCCCCCAACCTGCAAGCCTTTTGGTAAACTAAGCCTGAATCCCTAGTACTTCCCTTATGTGTTGACCATGTCACCAAAAACACAGCCATCCAGTGTTTTTAAAGGAGATAAGGAGTAAGCTATACACTTCTATATTATCCGTCTAAAATAAGAAGATTTTTTTTCCATGCTTTAGCTTATTGTTGTATGAAATGAAGTGAAGGTGGCTCTGATGACCTACATCTAGTAACACCTTTTTTAGGCTCGTCAATCAAAATAAAATTATTGATATCTTTCACTAAAAGATGCATTAGTGTGCATGGTGAGTAGTTATTTAATTCATTTTTTTTCCATGCTTTAGCTTATTGTTTTTGATGCAGTATCTCATTCTCCGTTTATTTCATGGCATAATTGAGGTGAGTGTGTTCTTTTTGCAGAGGGATGTACATATCATGAATGCCGCCTTGGAGCGGCATTTGTACCAGAGTTGGAAGGGAAATTTTTAGCGACAGAAAATTTTTACCATACTTCAAAGGTCTATATAATTCTCTCTATGGTTGGGGGCTCAAAAAGTTAAATTTGGACATAATGCATGCATAATGACAGGAGTCTTCTCTTTGGGTCAAGATTATCCATTTTCTTTTGTGTTCAGTATTCTGCCATCTTTAGTACAATATTCATTTTTATATTTTATCGCTTAACAGTTCTTTGGTCTGCACTCAAAGTCCTTCCTTTCTGATCTGATGGTGGCTGGGGAAAATTTTTGCCATGGGGACTGGTCAAAGATTAAGAAGAAGTACAGCTCTTTTGATGACGGACAGCTGCTGCTTTTTTGCTTTTCCTCAGCATATATTATTGCTCTACTACATGATACACTTAAAGTGCCACTGGATCATAAGAGGTGAACCCTTTTCTACAGTTCTATTCTTTGTTTGAAACCTGGATATTTACATGAGTTTTGTTTCAGGATTGATGTTGTAAATCAAATCCATGGCGTGCCTGTTGACTGGGCATTGGGTGCTTTCATTGTGCAGACGACGATGAACCGAACAGAGTACTCAGATTCATCAGTTTCATATCTAAACAACCACTCTTCTGGCTTGGTTCCGCTTCTGTTCATTACTGTGGTTGTATTTACAGCATTCTCCATCCTAAGGTGGAGAAGGCCTCAGCTGAGGACGATCTACGACATGGAGAAAGGCAGGTACATCATAACAAGGGTCAGCCGATGAGTCGCACACATCGGCGTTGGGAGTGGGTGGACTTCCTGCAGCGGAGCACTATTGACCATGTATGTAGATTTTCCTAAATTGATTTCTTACTCGGTGGCCAGCTAAGCTCCAGCATGTTGCCTTGCGGAATTAGCTTGCTGAGTTTGAGCAGCAACCCCTGTATATGATAGAAGGATATGGGTTGCGGTGGCCTTTGTGCATGCTCAATGCTGTATGTAATGTTGCTAAACTGTTGTCGAGGTAATTACAATTTTGTGCATGGGCGTCCATCCGATGATGTAATCCTGAGATATCATGTGTCTAATGATGAATAGAAAGTTCTCTGCCATGGATCATGGATGGCAGGGCAGCTGTATCTTTGTTTCCTGTCAAACCACTGATGTTATGTAATTCTAAGTCTAATGGTCGTGTATATTCTCTTGCCTTAAACACCACTGATGCTACGAGACTGCATTACAACGGTTTGCGTCCCTATTGCTATCACATAGGCACATAGCATTAGTTTAGGCTATGTGATATTGTTGCACTCATATTCCTGGCACAAGTAAACTATGAAGCTCACCATCTATTTAGGATAACTCTAATATATGGAGTTGGTTTTGGGTCTTAATTAGGTGTGTTGTATGCTGAGTGGAGAGAGGGAAGGAGCAAGAAGATAACTAGATAAGCCACACCCGTTCTATAAACGAGGGCCTAAAAATTTTGCGAGAGAAACAAGTAGGCTATATGTGAGCACTACTATATGAGTTGATCGATAGATAGGCTACAGGTACACATATAACCAACAACAGGCTATTATTAATCTTGCTTTAAGTCCCCATGGCTCCCCTCTCCACCATGCATCAGACATTTGCTCCTGATCTTGATATTGGCCACTTGATAGGAGATATATAGTTCATTGTCTTGAGTAAAACTTAGCTAATTTTGATTAAGTTAAGAATGCACTAACATTTAAAAGCACCAAACTAATGTCATTGAATTTTCCATTAAATATGTTTTAAGAATGCATTTATTTGAACTTGTAGTAAATATTGATGATATATATATATATTTTTTAAAAACTTGATCATGGAGAAGTTTAACATAGAGCCACTTGATAGGAGATACATAGTTCATTGTCTTGAGTAAAACTTTGCTAATTTTGATTAAGTTAAGAATGCACAAACATTTAAAAGCACCAAATTAATGTCATTGAATTTTCCATTAAATATGTTTTAAGAATGCATTTATTTGAACTTGTAGTAAATATTGATAATATATATTTTTTTAAAAAAAACTTGATCGCGGAGAAGTTTAACATAGAACTATTCCTGACGATTCTCCACGAAATTGCAATTACGTCAACAATTTGGAAACACACATCGTTTTATCATATACATCGGTGGTGGGCTGATGCGTCTGATTGCACACCGAGAAATTCAGACCAGTTTATGACTAAAAAAATCTACATAAACAATCTCGGACCAGTTCACGCTGCTGAGGTGCTCCATGTAATGGCAGTGAGGTGAGGAAGAAGAAGGTGAGGTGGTAAGGTCACCTGATTCTTGATGCAGGGTAACCTTACACGTTGAGCCAGACAAACAAACACCATCTCGCCCTCAGCCAGCCTCTGCTGCGTCCAAACAAACAAACAACCCCTATTGCACTACTTGGGGCTGCCTCCACCTGGCCAGGCTAGGCTGGGACGGACGGGCCACCCTAGTCCAGGGAAACAAACATGCACTGAGGGATCGCATCCAACAACTGGCAGTATTCCATTATTACATAAAGTAAAATTCAAAGGGACGATGTGCAAGACTCGTTCATGAACAAATATGCATTGCAATTTCGAAACTCGGCAACATGATAGCACAGGAGTGTTACATCGATCTAATGGACGGGAAAAAAAAGGGCATTGTGCAAAAACTTACGTGACGGCTATGGATCTGAAGCGCATGGAAGGGATCAAGGTAGGGAGAGTGGGAGACAGGCAACTGATCACACCGACCAGCCTTGCTCCACTCGCTCGTCTCGTTTCGTCGCCTGCATCGTCAGATCTTGTTGATCTTGGCTGCCACGACGAGCGGGTTGTTCTTGGCGATCTTCTCCCGGCCCGCCGCCTTGAAGTCGAAGTCGCAGGCGTGCTTCTCCGCGTACCGGTGCAGGGAGCAGAACGTGCCGCCGCAGCGGCAGGGGAACCCCAGCTGCCCCACCTTCTTGCGGCACGACGCGCACCTGTTGGGCGCCGCCGCCTCCACCGCTGGTGCAGCGCTGGAAGTTGTAGCAGAGATCTGGGCCGCCGCCGGCTTCTCGGTAGCGAGGACGACCTTGTCCGCCACGGCAGGGGAGGCGTGAGCGTCTTTGAGGGAGTCCCTGTAGCAGCCGGAGCACATGTTCTTGGTCGCCGCGGATCCGAAGAAACCGCACCCGTTCGCCGCGCACTTGATGGCGGCGCCACCGCCGCCACCGGATTCTTCCTGCTTCTCCGTCTCCACGGGGCCGGCGTTCTCCTTCTCTGTTGTCGACGTCGGCGCTTGAGCAATAACCGGCGTGGCCGTGGCCACTGCAACGGCAGCGGTAGCGTCAGGATCTTGATGACCACCCAGCTGCTCGGACACATGATGAGCAGCAGCCTTAGCGAACTCGATCTTCTTCTCGGCGACGGGAGCGGCGGCGGCGTCGGCGGTCTTGATCAGGTGCTCCTTGTAGCACTTGGAGCAGAAGTTCTTGGTCGCCGCGCTCCCGAAGAACCCGCAGCCGTTGGCGCACATCGGTGCCGCTGCACCGCCGCTGGAGACCTCCTGCCCCTCCGCCATCGATCTTCTTCTTGCTCGGTCGCCGCTTCTGAGCACGCACGTGAAACCTAGATCGCTTCGTGCGCGACCTGTTTCATGAACGAGCGGAGAGTTCGTGAGTGCGGAGCGTGGAGGTCCGTCCCTCTCTTATAAATACAGGAACGGGATCAAGGCGAAGCGCCAACCGACTTCCGATTCGTGGTCCGTCCGTGGCAGGGTAGGGTCCGACTTGTAGTTCCGGCTTTCGTCACGCGGGGCTTTCTGGTTCGTTCGTGGGTCCTGATGTTCAGGACACAACTAGCACCTTCTAGTTCAGCTAGTGCATCCCTGCCGTGGATCCGACGCGACCCTTTTTGTTCAAACACGGCACGCCGACCGACACCGGAAGTCGGTTCGCGCTTGGCTTCCGACTTCCGTCGCTGCCCGGCGCCTTCACGTTACGTACGTGCCCTGCCCGCCCTGCGATCCATCCAATCCTCGAGCAGCGGCGGACCGATCGGTTGGTCCATCGACCGAGATCCACACGGCGGAGAGCCAGGAGGTCTCTGGCGGCAGTGCGGCGACGATGTGCGCCAACGGCTGCGGGTTCTTCGGGAGCGCGGCGACCAAAAACTTCTGCTCCAAGTGCTACAAGGAACACCTGATCAGGACCGCCGACGCCGCCGCTGCTCCCGTCGCCGAGAAGAAGAAGATTGAGGTTGCCAAGGCTGCTGCTCACGTGCCCGAGCAGTCGACGGGTCATGATGCCGACGACGCTGCTGCCCCTGCAGTGGTGGCCACGGCCACGGCCACGCCGGTTGCTCAAGCGCCAACAGAGAAGGAGAACGGGGAGAACGGCGGCTGCCTCGTGGAGACGCAGAAGCAGGAAGCACCCGTCGGCGGCGGTGGCGCCGCCATCGAGTGCGCGAACGGGTGCGGTGTCTTCGGGTCCACGGCGACCAAGAACATTTGCTCCGGCTGCTACAGGGACTTTCTCAAAAACGACCACGCCTCCCCTGCCGTGGCGGACAAGGTCGATCTCGCTACCGAGCAGCCGGCGGCGGCCCAGATCTCTGCTTCAACTTCCAGTGCTGCACCAGCGGTGGAGGCGGCGCCCAACAGGTGCGCGTCGTGCCTCAAGAAGGTGGGGCTGCTGGGGTTCCCCTGCCGCTGTGGCGGCACGTCCTGCTCGCTGCACCGGTACGCGGAGAAGCACGCCTGCGACGTCGACTTCAAGACGGCGGACCGGGAGAAGATCGCCAAGAACAACCCGCTCGTCGTGGGAGCCAAGATCAACAAAATCTGATGCAGGCTAGTAGATGAAGGCTGCCTCTCGTGATGCGTGTGCCATACACGAAGACAGAAGTATTCCTGTCAGGCAATTTTTAGGTCTTTTCCCATTAGCAACCATACACCATAGAATCGTATTGTAACATTATTTATTCTTATTTTATCATGTTGATTGACGCAGTAACATTTTCTGATACTTATCTATTGTCATGTTAATGAGGTTAGAAATTGCAGTGTATGTTTGTTGTTGACGCAGTAACATTTTCTGATACTTATCTATTGTCATGTTAATGAGGTTAGAAGTTGCAGTGTATGTTTGTTGCCTTGCTCGATGCGTTAGTGGAAACTCGGTGGCCAATATATTGTTCTCAAACTCACGTTTTTCGATCGTCATCAATTCATTGTTTGCTCGGCCCTGGCAACAGCTCCAGTTCATTAGAGTGGAGGGAGATAATTTGTCATTGCCTACCTCCTCCTCTTTGACTGTGCAATGCTTGCAACATCTCCAGATGCTTAGTTTGGGAAGAATTGGCCGGCACTGCCAAACCATTACTGCATTATGTTTCGCCCAGGCATTTGCTGCTACAGACTGCACCTCCTGTTGGCCTTCAGTTTGCCTCCCTTCATGTGCTTCCTTAATACAGGGGTTCACTTATCGTTTTTATGGCACAACATAATTGTCATATCCTAAACTGGAACGTCAGGGGCCTAAACGATGGCGCGCGCCAGGACGCAATGAATGAATCAGTTAGAAGCACTGGTGCAACCATAGTGTGCTTACAAGAAACAAAGATGCAACTTCTTGACCAGAATGTGGTGATCCGCACAGCAGGTGCAAAATTCGCCAACTCCTTTGATGTGTTACCGGCTGAACAGACCCGGGGGGCATCCTTCTTGCGGTGAACGAAGATTTCTTCGACCTCTCCTCCATTGAATTAACAGCGAGAACAATAACAGCAGAAATCACAATGAGGGCGGATGAAATAAAGTGGAAAATCACAGTTGTATACGGGCCGCAAGGGGACGCGGCCAAGCTCCAGTTCCTCCAAGAATTAAAAAGCATTCCCCCTCCACCAGAGCACAATAGATGGCTCATTTTGGGAGACTTCAATCTCATCTACCAGAAAGAAGATAAGAACAACTCAAATCTTAACCAGCGGCTGATGGGCACCTTTAGGGCGGCGATTGATCATCTACGTCTTAAAGAAATAAAGCTTAATGGACGCCGCTTTACCTGGAGCAATCAACAAGACAGCCGTACACTCTCGAATTGATAGGTTCATATGCACCCCACGGTGGGAATTGATCTTCCATGCCTGTTTCTTGCACTCCCTGCCGTCACTCATGTCGGACCACACCCTGCTGCTATTACAAGGTGAGCTGGACCACCACCATAACACATCCTTCCGGTTTGAAATTTTCTAGACCGAGATGGAAGGGTTCCAGGAGCCCGTCCAAAACATTTGGAATAGGTCGGTCAGCACTGTTCTTCCTATCAAACGATTGCACATCAAAATGGCGCGTGTTGCAAAGGGACTCTGGAAGAGAGAAAAAATTGGCGACACAAAGCTACAACTTGCTATAGTAAAGGAAATCTTGCTCCAATTAGAAGGAGCACAAGAGCACAGGTTACTCACAGAAATGGAGCTCGACCTGTGCCGGCGCCTCAAAGCTCATAGCACCGGTCTCGCGTCCATTGAAAAAATAAGGATCATGCTAGGGATGACAACTTACTCCTGCAATGGTATATTATTTATGCGCTTACGGATTACTTAATATATATATTTACAAGTGTTTTTAATAATTACCAACAACGTGGCATCATGCTAGGGATGACAACTTACCCCTGCAATAGTACGAGAGTGATGCTAAAAAATACCACTCCATATCATGCGTAGGTTTTGTGCATTCTCACCATCTCTAAACATTGTTTAGGTACGGTGCGCCAATCGCTACTTCTCGTGTTGTGCGGTGGCCCGGGTTGCCTGTAGCAGTGACGGAACCGGGCGGCCGTGCCCCCCCCCCAACACCGTAATGTTTTTGATATTATGTAAAAAAAATATCTTTTCACCTATCTTTTATGATAATACTGTGATTTTTTTTATATGAATACCAAATACATATGTAAAAACATTGAAAAAGCTATTAAAACATACACTTGCCGTATATATTTATCGCATTTACAAAATGTCATCATATTGCTCGACTCCCCTTAATCAAAAGTCCTGGTTCATTTTAGTAGTGTGGGAAAGGCGGAATGATCATTTTTTTTAGGGAACGGAATGATCATTTTAGTCACTATGAACTATTGTCCAAGACTTAATTTCATATCTGAACTTTCCAAATAATTGTTTTAATCCTTAAACCTTCATTTTAGGCTCAATTTCATCCTAGGAAAATCAAGTACATGTTTTAGTCCATAAACTTTGCATTTTTAGACTTAGTTTCATCTATGAACTATCTTTTTCTCGAATACACAAAAAAGGTTCACATATCATTGCAATTAAGATACAATAGAAGAGTTTAAACATACAAACGTCGCGGTTCAAGCGAGCGCCCTAGGAGATCTAGAAGGAGCAGCGTAATGCCGGACCATCCTAGGTACAGAAACAAGTTACTGTATTACTCAGGCCCTGTTCGCTTCTCTTGTAATCCGTCTTTTTCAGCTTATTTTTTCAGCCGGAACAGTATTTTTCTCTCACAACAATCAGCCGGAACACTATTTCGACTTGTTTTTTCAGCGAAGCGAACGAGGCCTCAGAAGCTAAACAACTAATAGATGGGCGGCGCTTCGACTTAACGAACGACCTTCCGTTGTCGCTACTTCTTGCGCGTCCCTACCCCGATGTCTGAAAACAGGACGCTCAATGCTTCGACATTGGAAACACTCGCAGGTCCGCCTCGAAGAGCTCCTCTTAGGCTTTCTTTCCCGACGCGCTTGGCATGGAAAATCCTATGGTGAGGCCTAAGCGCTGTAGGACCTCACCGCGCTTGGATTCATCTATGAACTACCAAACACATTTCATTCTAGTACCAGAACTCACTAGCTACAGTATCCTTCTCCCTCTCTGGCCGTAGCGCCTCCCGCTGAAAGGGGATTTCGAAAATAAGGTCCTCGTCCGACTGTTAGTTTCTCCGCTTCTTGCTGTTAGCTTTTGCTCTCTTCTTGCTTTCTAGCTCTACTTCGGCCGCTCTTTGCTTGCCTTAAAACTTGTACATAGAGTTCTGGACACTTCAGAAATCAAATCTCACCGGTAAGTGATCAACTAACCATATATGATATTTTAATTTAAAACCTGGTTCATATAGCCTTTATACTACATACTATATAGTATATTGGTCCTGGTACAGAGAGAGAGAACGACTATACGGACGACTAGGGTCGACTAGCCTCGATTAATCGAACTTATCGACTGATGGCGACTAATCTACCTTATCGGTGCCATGGCGACTATGATCGATCAGATGATTTGAAAATAGCAAAGGAGTAGTTAGCTATAAAGTGGACCATAGCTAAGATACACAGAAAACTGCACAAGTTCAACAAAAACTCCATCCAGATGTACTGAAATGTAAGCTCCCAATTTCAGAATATGTACTTTCAGCTTCACGTCAAATGCAAGAGCTCCAGATCCACACATTCCCAGCAGCAACTGAGCAAGCAATCAAAATGAGAAAGAAATCGCACAGTGTTTTACTATGTTACATGCCTTGAGATCACGGTGGCCCATTCGTCCTGAAATTGGAACCCCGATCGAGACCCCCGAAGCACTTGCCCTTCCCTGCAAGACTGCAGGACGGACTCGAGTCTCGGACACTGCGGAATCCAGCAGCCACAGCACGGCAGTGGCCATGAACCGCACATCGGTTTCCACCCCCGCTCTCCCGGGCACACGGCGCCCGGCAAACTCCACTAGCGGCGCCAGCGACAGCCCCGCGCGCGCCGGAAGTCGGTTCCAGAATCCATGACACGAGTCGGGGTCGGAAGTCGGAATCGCAACGGCAAGTCCATCCTACCCTGCCACGGATGGACCCGACTTCCGACGACCCCGCCGGCCTAAAACACGAATCGGAACACGGTTCGCGCTTGGCCTTGGTCCCGTTCCCCCGTACAGGAGAGCGATCTGTAAACAGGAGTAATGGTGTACCTTCTCGAGTGTTCTTGAGTGAACAGTAAAGAGAGAGGCGATTTCCTCATCTCCACCCATTCTGCTCGTGAGATTGGAGCCTGGAGATTGGAGGAAGCTGTGCAGGCACCATAGGAGAGTGCGCTGCTTGCCTAAGCCAGAGACGGGGATGTGCTCCAGTGTTTGCAGGTGTCTCCGTCCAGGTCTTGCTGCTTCGTGGTAATCTTCTCTTGGTGATCTGTTTTGATTTGAGTTCCCCTATCAGCTCTATCTACACTGAGCTCGGATCTGATTCGGGACGAACAAGGGGTGATCTTAGCATCGCTGGTTGGATTTCGAGTTCCAGTGGTCACAGTGGCTGATGGCGCGGAAGCAGGCGAAAGAAAAGGAACTTGCAGCCTTGGAAGTTGGGGAGGTCTCCCCTTCGATTCCTAGAGTTGGTAGAAGGGATAAAAGATGTGAGAAGGAGCGATCTCTTGAGTGGAGGAGCAGGTCTCAGATTTGTTTGGTAAGCTTAATTTAACTCTAAAAGAAAAGGAAACTCTAATTCTAGATGATGCAGAAGATTCAGACTTAGCTATGGTAAACCATGCGGTGATTGAAAAGGTTCTTGATCCCAATCCTTAGCAGTTGCCAACCATTATATCAGCTATGCGTCTAGCCTGGGATAATCCAAAAGGTTTGGTGGCACGAATGGTGGGCGACAATCTTTTTATTGCTGAATTTGATTCGGTGCTGGACAAAAATAGAGTTCTTGATGGCTCCCCATGATATATCGGACGACAATCTGTGATTTTACAGGAGTTTAATTATGATTTACGCCCAAATGATGTAACTTTTGACGAATTGGCCATTTGGGTGAACATCCTAAATCTCCCTTTTAGGCTGC